ATCTATAATTGCTTCTCATTTACAGCTTTTTTTTTATTATTTGTTAACAATTTCATCAACACAGAGTGGTGAAAGGCTGCAAAATTGCGATCAAACATAAAATCGACTGTAGATGTTGACCACATTATCCACTTCAGATTTTCCAAGCGTAGCTTTAGATGTGGCGCAAGGCCTAAAGTAGGGGGCACTTAGTGAGGATCGAACTCACTACACAGTCATATTTCTAGCAAAACAAACTTGCTAATCATTACACCGCCTCAAGGTGCTCAAAATGATTTTCTAAACATAGCTTAGATATGGCACAAAGCCGAAAGTAAGAGGCATCAAGTGAGGATCGAACTCGATACTCTGTCGCAATTGTTCTCGCGAGACAAGATTGCTAACCATTACACTGTCTCGAGGTGCCCCAAATGTTTTCCTAAGCTTAGATATCGCACAAAGCTGAAAGTAGGGGGCACCTGGTGAGGATCGAACTCACTACTCTGCCGTAATTGTTCTAGCGAGACAAGTTTGCTAAACATTACGCCGTCTCGAAGTGCCCAAAACTCGGTGATATTTTAAGCATAGATGTGGCACGAGGCCGAAAAGTATAGGCACCCGGTGAGGATCGAACTCATTACTATGTCGTAACAAGCGAGACAAGCTTGTTAACCATTACACCATGTCGAAGTGACCCATTACTCACTTATATAGATCTTGCGACGAATATATTTTGTATATTCGGATATAAGAACGCTCATAAATATTCATCAAGTTAAACAAAGTTTTGAGAACGTCACGTGACGCAATTCAGCGTCTGAGAGAGGAAAAGGATGTCTGTTTTTTTTAATGCAAATTAGTATTTAAATTAAATTTTTTTCTTTGGTATTAATTTATTTGTTATATATTTTAAATAACATGAAGTTATGGATTTACTGTTTTCTTTTTAATAAATACAGTGAATGTACCCGACATAATTGACGGTGACAACGATATCCTGAAGCAAAGTCCAGCACGTCATCAGGAATTACGAGTCGAACATCACTTCCTTAACGAATCCACCGTTCGCTTCGATGGAAACGAGTTTTTGCTTTGCTTAATTTGTTCTGGTGGGTATTTATAAACACAGGATTAAAAGTCATAATCACAAAAAGTACATATGTACATAAGGAAAATATTTCGTCATACACACTCATCTCTTTTATATATATATATATATATATATATATATATATATATATATATATATAGTGGTAAAGGTTTTTCGTACAGGACCATCCACACTTTTTGAAGGGCCGAATACAGAGACCTCCGTGCCACAAGGTCCCCAAACGAACTTTCGCAGGTTTTGAATTCAGAGTTGTCCTTCTCCTAGAGCAGTTGCCATCCAATTCTATAGAACCCAGTCTGTCCTGCTATTTACCGACCTCGGCACTCCGATTCCTCAATCCAAGCCGCTATCCATTACTCCACCGTTTGGTGGTTTCATTGGAACTAATCTGGTTGACCCTCACACGATGAATTCGACAGGAGAGTCGAATATATATATATATATATATATATATATATATATATATATATATATATGTACAGATGTAACCCGGATATAAGAGAAACCCTGATATAAGAGAGATTTTCTCTGGTCCCAAAGTGTTCTATACATACCTAAACAAAATAGACCAAACCCGGATATAAGAGAAACCCGGATATAAGAGACTTCTTCTCCGGACCTGACAACTCTCTTATATCCGGGTTTTACTGTATCTGTATATTAGGGTAGGTCAATTTTGGAACTGTAAAAAGAATAAGTCGAGGAAAGTTGCAAAATAACGTCAAAAATTACCACAAAAAATATTTTTCTACAAAACTTCGTATTTATTTGAGCAATCGAACTTAGAGACAAAATAAATTGCGATTTTTATCATCATAACGGTGTCATCGGAGACATGTGTATGTTAAATTAAAACCGAGTCTTAACGAAAAGAAAAAAAAAAGAAAAATAACGCTTAATAATGAATATTTTTTGAGTTTATTATCTATTCTCTTATTAAATTAAATGAAATTACTAAAAATAAAAAATAAAACAAACTAAAATATTTAGTTTAAAATACAAATAACTACTTATGAACGGCGTCGTCGTTTTACTGGATATTTTTTCGGTATTTACCGGTAGTAATTACCTCCTCTTGTGTATTTTGTTTTATTTTTTTTACTGTTTAGTTTTACGCTTTTAACTAGCACAAAATATCTATTTTATTTTTTCATTAAAATATACTTAACTATTTAAAAAAATACAACTTTTATAATGATTTTAATTTGTTTATTTTTTCAAAATTAGTGTTTTATTAAAAAGCCTGTTTACAAGCTAACCATGGAACTAGCTTTACTTTTATATAAATAAAAAATTACTTTTTTTTATTTAATAATGCATTTCAAACTTTATTTTCCAATTTATTTTGAAAAATATTTTTGTGTAATTTCTGATAATACATATATTTTTCTTTGTCAGATATTTTAATAA